AGCTGCGCAGCTCGAAAATACTTTTAGTTTCCGTGGGCCTAAAAGGGGAAAAAAAAGGATGGAACGAGTGTAAGTCTATACTTGTACTTTATTTCTTTCCTAGATCTATTCACACTTTAAAAAAGTAAGCAGCGCTCTAAATCCATTGCTCGCAAGTTTTGACATATTGAATGTAACGCCGCAAGCAAATGTTCCGGAAGCTGATACTCCAAGCATGAGGAGGGCAAGTTAATGTTTTTGTTTATTTGGCCCCAGATGCACGAGCTCTGCCGACCATTCTGGTTGACAATTGATAATTGCGAGCTGCTTATGCACAGGTTAAATGCTGAAATGATCAAAGGCCTAAATACACCTGATGACCCCACCAATGATTTAAAAATGATCAATACTTATACCACAGCTCTTCCACTCGGGAATGGTAATTTCTCACGTTGTTATTGGCTTTGAGAAACCGGAAAGTATCTCGCTCTTGATCTGGGTGGCACAAATTATCGACTTTTGTTGGTTACATTCGAGGCCCCACAAACTCCACCAAAAATAGAAGAAGAAATGTATGTAATTGCACAAGAACTTCAGCAAGGAGAGTCAGATGCCGTAAGCGATATTACTTTAAATCTAAAGATGTAGTTGTTTGGGTTTATAGCAGGAACAGTAAAAAAATTTCTTCAAAATCGTGGGTTGTTGGACACACCGATAGACCTGGGATTTACATTTTCATTTCCGGTGCAGCAAACAAGTTTAAACAGCGGCACACTTATTCGATGGACAAAGGGCTTTGATGTCAAGGATGCCGTCGGCAAAGACATTGTCGAACTTCTAAACGCGTCGATGAAGAAACTGGTTTGTCATCATTCGATAATTGATCTTCCCAGAACCTACAAGTCAATTGTCGTGTGCTGGTGAACGACACGGTAGGAGCTCTTGCATCGTGCGCCTTTCTGGACCCGAACACAGCTGTCGGTTTAATTGTGGGTATGTTAAATGAGGGTGTAGTTTTTTAGAATTTGAACATATCATCCTTAAGGATGAAAACAACTGTTCTCAAAGACCTTTTGGAGACAGGGAACATAATGTGCTCGTCAATGGCCTAAATTCTAAATCCTTAGGCTCTGTAGTCGATTAATTTTGGTAGAAGTCAGCTTTCGATTTTGTATTTGTTTAGCTGACGACCTGTAGCTTGATGTGCAGTCATTCGTCGACCTCAGGAAATATTAACCGAAATTGTGAAATGCATTCTCGATTGGGAGTGATTATTAAGGTAGGCATGTAATACTGACTATCGTCTCACAATTACACGCCTGATGTCTAAAAACACTTCTTTTCGAGTATAGGACTGAATGAAGTCGTGGTTAATCATCAACTGAAGATAACAGTGTACATTTTTAATTATGTTTTCTATTAAATCTATTTGAGACGACAAGTGTATTTAAATTTATTGACAATCAGCTTTAAACATGTCAGTGTAAAGTACCAATTAATTAAACAAAATAAGGAAAATCTGTATCTCCAGAGTTAAGAAATACATTGGTGGGCGATTGAATACTTTGCCTCCAGTTTGCAGAAAAATAGACCAAGAAAGCGAGTTTAAATATAGAGCCATTATGCGATAATTTGGTCGTAACAATGTTCTAAATACTTGAGCATGAGAAACGTAACTTCGACCATGGTCTTTAACTATGTACTTCTAGAAACTTTTCGATTTAGTATAGGAGTCAATTGTGATACCAAGATCAACTGAAAACATTGTTCTTAAGAGTAAGCCGAATACAGAACTCAATGCAAACAAGTATTTACCAGTTTATCTAAGTTGTCTGTTGTCTGTCTCTTACTATTCTGTTCTCGGGACTCTAATAGATCAGACTTACTGAGCGGAAAAATGAAAAAACGATGGAAAAAATATAGTTCTATTAATGAGAGAATATGGTATGGCATTTGTAAGCAGATTTTTAAATTACAAGAGTGAGTATAGTAATCGCCAAAAATACTGGGAGTTCTCTTTTTTATTGAAGAAAGATAATGTAAACGTCGTTACATGAAGGAATACTAACTAATTCAATGTTACTCTGAGATGTGGCATGCTTTTGGGGTTGAACAATGGCTCAGGCCATATAAAAGCAGCGGAATCCAAAGAATGCCTCAAGATCGCTTAGTAAGCGACATCAACTTTAAGTAGACACTGGTAATTTTGTTGCTGGCCTAAAGATTCAATCCAAAAATCACGAACAAATAACATTTCCCGCTGAATGCTTTACTCTAAATAAACGAAAAACCAAAAACAAAAATCTGGAGTGTGAGTATATAATCCGTCATCAGCAGACATTTTCTCACGGCATGTAGTTTATACACTTAGAGCTCAGATAGCAAACCATGAACTTTCGCCCGTTTTATTGCCTTTAATTATGTAAAGTCGTGAATAATGTAGTGAGTGAGGCTTTTGAAGTATTTGCCACACACTCATTCCCTTGTCCCATCTTCCGAGGACGGCCGAAAGTGGACTCGGCAACATTAATTGACAGACCTACACGGTCCGTCTGCGAGTACTACGCGTGAACTTGTCCCCACACCATGCGCCAAAGGATAAAAACTATGCAAACCGCTTAAGTTAGGCGTCCATCATATGCTTTAAAAAGCTTCATCTGCGAATCTGACCGGAATCCGGAGCTGGATTTAATTGTTATGGGCATATACAAGTATCGTTTTAGTAATTTAAGTGAAAACAATACCTTTTCAATTAAAATAATTGGAGATGCGGACAACGACTGGAATAAGGCGGAGCGCATTGCAGAAAGTGGTCACGTAGATGCGTTTTTGTGAAGCGAGTTTCTATAAAATTAAGGCGAGATGTTGTGACGGGATATTTATTGTGTCGTTGTACTTAAGATCTTTACGAATTTGCATATGACTGAATGCGTCTATGCGACAGTCAAGTGTTCTAAAATTGCGTTTGCATTTGAGGGAGGATAGACGAGATTGATATGCTGAAACTTACTGCGCTAGTTTGTCCGATGCAGTGCGATGGTTCCGCTATTGATTGACAAAACCAATGCGTGATGTGGAAATGCGGTCGCAATGGGAACAAATCAGAATTGAGTCCACGTGGCTGGTGTAAGCGACAATAAGTTTGACGATGGATAGAATGGCAAACGTGTTGTAGCGAGTTTTGCGCAATTCTGTCGTTAGTCCGTTGCATTTATTCCCTGCAAGATTCTTTGTCGGCTTTGAAGACGACTACTTATTCGGGTTGTTAGATTCCTACTTCAGTAATTTCGTGGCTTGTCAAGCCTATTGATCTTAACTGAGGCACTCCTGGGTGATCTAAATGATCGTTTAGCGTCTAAGTAAGATTTTCATTGTCTTAGCATTCTTGATTTTGTTTGTCTTGTTTACGAGCAT